AAGAATTGATGCTTTTGAACTATGGTGCTCTTGAGAGTCCCATGGACTGCAAGAAGATCAAACGTATCCATTCTGAAGGAAATCAGCCCTGAGTGCTCACTGGAAGGACAGATCGTGAAGCTGAGGCTCCAATACTTTGGCCACCTCATGAGAAGAGAAGACTCCCTGGAAAAGACCCTGATGTTGGGAAAGATGGAGGGCACAAGGAGAAGGGGACGACAGAGGATGAGATGGTTGGACAGTGTTCTCGAAGCTACAAACATGAGTCTGACCAAACTGCGGGATGCAGTGGAAGACAGGAGTGCCTGGCGTGCTCTGGTCCATGGGGTCACGAAGAGTCGGACACGACTAAACGACTAAACAACAACAAGGCTGCAGTGACCCACCTTGGATTAGGCCCTGAGCCACTAGTGGGTCCCAACCTGCCCGTTGAAGACCAGGTCTACACCAGTGTTGGGGAACCTGATTGGCAAAATTTAGCCCTCAGGTCTAGATTGGACCACTGATGATGCTAACTTTCTTGGATGGAGAACTTGCTGCCATCCAACTGTTGGTGGATTCGAGGCCATCAGCCTCAGCCAGCTGGCCAATGGTTAGGGACGATGAGAAGTGTAGTCCAGCAGCTTCTGGAGGACCACAATTTACACAAACTGGCAGCTGCTCTCCAGAGTTTCCCAGCCCTACCTTGTATTTATTTATCTAAATATTTCTAAGATGCTTCTCAGGACTTGCACAAAATGCCATCTTTTCTTTTTTCTTTTTAAGACTCCACACAAGCATTTAAAACATCAGTACAAAACACTATACAGACTAGGATACATTAATACTATACAGACAAGGAATACATTAATATAGATAAAACATGTGCCAGGGACCTTCCACATACAAAGCATGCATTCTCTAAGAGCTATTTACAAGACGTCCCCAACTATGCCCATTCCGCAGGGATAGGATGCTGAAAGATATTTCTGGCCATCGGTGGGTTTGGCGGAATTATTGGCTAAATTAATATATTTCAATAGATGATCCCCACTTAGTAGCTGGGCTCAGTGTCTTGAATGCAAGCTGTGATTCTGGAAAATGACAGTTACTAGGATGCCAATTCTTTTTGTTTATGGGTGAATAAATAAGCATTCCCTTCATGTTCATAACTAAAACCTACAAGGTTTCTTGGGCTTTTAGTTTTGTCATTTTCAAAAGAAGATGAAAAGGAAGAAGAAAAAGAAGAAATTACACACTTTATTACAAAGTGCATCCCCCCCACAGAACTTTAGAATGCAATGCAACACGTGCAACAGCAAAAACAAACAAACAAACAAACAAACAAACAAACTGATGAGTGGTATAATATTCTTAAAGTGGTCTTAATAATGGTTACAGTGAGTTTGGCCTGGGTGATTCTGGCTTTACCTCTGATCTACTTAAATTTAACATGAAACTTCAGTTTCATATGGGCATGTTCAAAGGTCTAATCCAGGACGTGAAAACTGACACCACAGAAATAACCGGCTACATTTCTCAGATTGATTGAGGTGACTATTATTTTTGATCCCCAGTTTGAATTAGGCCCCACAGGCATTAATGAAGGGCATGCCAAGCAGCTAGGTAGGTCATATTCTTATTGTAATATCCAGTTATTACTATGTGCTCACTTGAATTCAATTCAAGGAACCACAAAGTGATCAGTTTTAAAAAAGGCCACAACTTGCAGGGCTGCTGTCAGCACTCAGCGTCCTGGGGCTGGTGGCTTCCCTGAGCCCATGGCAGGCAACTACTGGTCTTCATCTTAGATTTCCCAAGGGGCCTGTGAGTGCCCAATGTAGCATACTTCATGGCCATCACAGGGTATTTAAAATGGTATCCAGCAGCCACTATAGAGGGGTGGCTTTTTGGAGCATTTTGGAGGAGTGCTGCCACTCACAGGAGGCAAATTGAGGGGCTTATGCTGAGGACGCCCTCAAGGCTGCAGGTGGCCCTATATGAATGGGTCAGTAGGCACAATGTGCAGGAACTGATAGGCAGAGTTTGATAAGGAAAAGGGTTTTCAAACTTTGGGGGTTTTCCACTTAAAGTCCAGATAAAAGTGTTTTAACAAAAGCATGTACAGAGAATTGTTATTTTGAAAATGTGCCATTCATTTGTCAGATAATGAAGTTTGTTTGCTTTTGCTAAAAAGAGAACAAGCAGAATGAATCCATCAGGTTGGTTGCACAATTTAAAACATAAAGGCTTAGCTGAAAAGGAATGTTTTCATCAACATAGAAAGGAAAAGACAGTCAGCAAAGCCCCCCACCCCAGCAAAGAGAGGGCACCAGAATAGAGAAGCTCTCTGCCAGATTGTTGCTCCCAACACCTCAGAAAGTGGGAGGCAGCAACTATAAGAGGGTCTTCTACATATTTTAGGGCACACAAGGGACCATTTGGGAGGAAGGGCTCTTTCAGGAATCCAGGGCTCAAAAGATTTAGGAGCTCTTGGCTGCATTACTATACTAACTTACCTGAGGAAGTTTCACTGGAGTTAATGAGATTTCTGTCTGAGTACACAAGCACAGACAATAGCCCCCTCCTTCTGTTATTCCTCCTCATCAATTCGCATTCAGTGGTTTCTGTGTTTGAACATGGAGGTTCAGTCTAGACATTATGACTTTTGATAGATCTATCCTCCATAAATAAGTCTAACCTTCTTTTATTATCATCTAAACTAGCCAAATTCAGTGGCAGCAAGCTCTAGTGCTGTGTTGAAATTGAGTAAACCCACTGAAATCAACAGACATACATTAGTAATGGCTAACTTATGTCCATTGGTTTCAATGGGTCAACTCTGAGTATGAATTTTTGTGCATTCCTAACCATGGATTCTCATAAGTAAATCCTACAGAATGCAGTGCGGCTTACTTCCTGGTAAGTGAGTTTAAGACTGCAACCTTAGTCAGATACAATATTTCTTTTCACCCTTCTAAGTTATACCATTCTCCATCAATTAATGATTAAAAAATGCATTGGAAATTATAAAAAAAATTGAGGGTTGTGAGCCTTCGGAGTGGAGGCTGGTTCATCTGCTCTCAGCCAGCCCCCACCCGCCTTCCTTGCTACTTACGTACAGCCCAGAGATAAACACAACCTGTGCGCTTGGTCCTGCTTGGTCTCCGTGCTGTCATTATTGAATTCTCTATGGAGGACAATTGGGGCAAAACTAGAATGAGTTGGCTCTGCCTGCCATTGGCTCTGGTTCCACTACGGTTGGTCTCCTTGCCCACTGGCCTGTCAGATTGATGGGGTACAAGCCATCACTGGCCTCTCACACTTCAGTCAAAGCCCACTGGAAGCTGTCAATGGGTGGGGCTCTTACTTTACCTGTCAGATCTAGAAGCTCAGTCTTCAGGGCATGGGAGAAATCTTTTATGGCAAGAGAAACTCATATGCCACCCTTGGCCATCTTGGTCAGTCTCCTACCTACAGACACTATAAATGAAGCAGGGGGGGAAATGAAACCTTTTTTTGTGGTGGAAGGAGACTTTCAAGAAATCAGAGACTGGCTCTCTGCACAGCACTAGCAAATACCATAAATTAGCTGTGCACTGCTAAAGATGTACTTTCCTTAATCTGCCCTGAAATTAATTGCCAATCCTTTTATTGGGTGACCCCAAGTTCCAATATTATAGGGAAAGGAGGAGAAAATAACCTCTCTCCCCTTTCTCTGTGCCATGCATAATTTCAGAAAGCTCTGTCCTGTCTCTGGACCTTGCTGAGTACAGAGGGCTGTGCAAATGAACTGTGTTTTTCTTCTCAGGTTTGCACTGATATGAAATGCTCTCCAGAGTAGGGAACACACCGATTCACTCAGCATTTAGCATATGATCAGATCAGGGCGAGATTGAAGGGATATTCTGTCCTCCTTTCTAGTTGGCTATTAAATACAAAAGGAGAAGGAGGCAAGAGGTCTTTCTATTTCATGAGCCGCTTGAAACTGACTGCCAATGCTGTGTAGCAGGAATAAATGTTGAACTAAGAGGTAGCTCTGTCATTCTCTCTGTGCAGGTCAGCACAGTGGCACGGATTAAACAGTCTCACAGGAAAGCCAGAAATAATTTTAATTGAGTCCAAGCCTCTCAGCACAATATACCTTTCCTAAAATAGATGCTTTCTTAATGCATAAAGGTCTGTAATAGTGCAAAAAAGCAGCTGCTGATTCTAACCCTACCAAGGGGGGGGGGGAGCCTCTTCTCTTTAGTGGTATTTAATCTCCATCTCTCTTGGCTGTAACGTACATTTCTTTGTCCCCTTATCCTTTTATCATTCGGCTTGCAAAACTGCTACCTTTGCTTTAATTTTTTTAAAAAAAAAACGTGGAAATGAGAAGTATAGTTTGCAGGGAAGTCTGAAAAAAGTTTTTTCCCCTGTTCTCCAATGCATAAAAATGTGACCACTATATGATTCCCCATACACAATTTTAAAAACAATGCACACTCAACACATCCTGTAAATATTATGGAGCATAGATTTGAGCCATGTGAGATATCCTCTTTGCATAATACATAACATACCTCAGCACTGTTAACCCATATTCTGCTAAATGAGAAAAGAAATGTCAGTCATGTTCCAAAAATGTAAGTTTTGCTAAGAAATGATTGATTGTCAGCCATTTTGTGGACTTGGCCGCATAGGACTGTTTTCCTTGGATGTTAAATCCACATGTCTTACAGTATGATCCTATGCATATTTATTCCAAAGCAAGTATAGATGTGTGTAAGATTGCAACCTTTCAATTTCAACATGCGCCCCTTTATTCTGAAAGAGGATTTGCAGAGCAGAAGACCCAAGAGGCTTCTATAGCGCCAATCATGCAAGCAAGGCTATTGCCACTGTACCTCCCCTAGCCTTGTCATCACGGCAGTTGGGGCAGCTCCACTTCGTCTTCCTGTTCTAAACAGCCTTAAAACTTTATTACAGTTAAATTCCAAGTTGTAGTTGAAGGTTTATACCAGCAGAGGAGCTCAAAAACTTGTCTAGCTCAGATGGTAGAACATGAGACTCTTAATCTCAGGGCCAAGGGTTCGAGGATGCCTGCATTGCAGGGGGTTGGGCTTGTGCTACAATTCCAGATTCTGTGACCTTTAAGGTTCCAGGGAAGTTGTGACACAGCCCCTGTCCCATTTTGCACAGCACAGCAAATGCTGCTATGGAGGGAAGTACATATTCATGTCTTCTTGGTTGTGGAGAATGTTGGGGCAGCAAAAATTCAGGGGCTGAGGTTAGATTCTGGCAGTAGCACACAGGTCATATTTCTTCCATGTACCACAACTCACACCTTTCCCTCACTTTTAGCAGACGAGGTCAACCTGTGCCCTTGAATATAGCCAGTGCTTTTTTTGGGGGGGGGGTCGCAGGGATAAGCATACCCCTAAACATTTTTGTGAATCTGAGTTTGGCCTCATTGAGGGGCAGTATTTCAATATGAGTAGCAAAATGAGTACCCCTAAACATTTTTTTTAGAAAAAAGGACTGAGTATAGCACCTTAACAGGCTATTATTGAAAACATAAAACCTCTGATGATGAGATTTCCATGCAGTTTTTGCCAACCCAGGCCCCTCTGGGTGCTTTGGACTACAACTTCTATCAATATGCAGGCAAGAGCTGATGGGAGTTGTAGTCCATAAAAATCTGGGAGGCACAGGGTTGGTGAAGGGTGCCCTCAAACAACTTCATAGGCGACACGGGGGCTTGGAAAGAGGGTGTGGTTTTTGGCTTTGTGCTCCGAACCACCTGTTTGCTGTATATGAGCTCAGGGAAGGCGTTTCTCTCAGGCTAAGTTGGCTGCTGACTGTGTAGTGTTAATTGTGTATGTTTTTTACAGGCTTTCTTTAATATTGTGTTCTTGCAAAAAGTAGAACTCTCCATGGGAAAAGCCAGTTTGATTTGTGTCACCCAAAATGCCTGAAAGATGGGGATATTGATTGGTATCAGCTTGTGTTTATTCTAAGGATGGGCAGAGAAGCCTCTTTCCATTTTGTGTCAGCTTTTCAGTTTCTAATCATAGTCTCTTCCATCTCTGGTTTCGTGGAGTTGGTGTTTTTAATGAAAATTTTGGATTTTAATTTTGTACACATTTTATGTGCATTTTATACACATTTTGCCTTAAAATATGCATTGTTGTATGCTTTTCATTGCATTCCCCCTTAAAATATGCATTTTTTGTACACACACCCATTACAAAATATGCATTTTTGTGTGTATTTTTGAACCAAAAGTACATTGCAAACTTTGGAGAAGTGTGTAATGTGATTAATGGCTGTGTTCCAATCCACATCTATGTCCAGAACTGATAAACTAGGTTTCTCCTCCATCCCCAATCAATGCGCACACAGCTGCTATCCAAACAGGTTGTTAGAGGAGGTTAGGATGCTATAACATATTTTATTAGTATAATATTTCTCTCTCTCTCTCTCTCAAATCAAATCTCTCTCTCTCTCTCAAATTCTGTGGGTTCCCATTCTGCTGAAATTTCTTGGGAAATATTTTCTTTTTCTTTTTGGCGTCCTGCAAAAACGAGAGCAGCTTTGAAAACTGTTGCCTACCAGTACATGCCCGCCCACTCGCACCCGCGCCATAATGCAGAATAGCCTTCTGCCCTACAGAATATTTGGCATGATGCCTCCTCCTCTGTTTTGCTGACTGCAGGTAGGATGGAGAATTTTAAGAGACCCTTTTCACTCAGCCTTTGCACCCCTTTCCCACATTTAGGACCTTCCTTTGTGCCTCATTATCTTCTAAAATGCTCAGTGCTCAAGTGTACCAGTGCACTGACAATATACTGCTGCTTGGTTCATACACATGGCATGGAATTATGATTTAACTTATCAAATGTCCAAAGGATAGTGTTAGAAAAAGTTGCTTTTAGTAATTGTTGTGTGCGGTGGTGTCTCCCTGCCACAGCCATCTCCATTTCTCTTCTTAGAGCTAGTCTTTATATTTGCACAAGCAAAGGTGACTTTGGAATAAAAGTAGAATTCCACGGCAATGTTGAGCTTTGAATTCTTTATTATTATTATTATTCTTTTGGACAAAAACACTGGAGTAGTCTAAATATGACTATTTTTCTTTTAAAAAACAGACTAAAAGGAATAGGGCTGGGTTGTTTTCTTCTCAAATTTGAGAAGACATAGACCCAAGGGAAGGGGAAGGGGGGAAGGAATGAAGCAGTCAGAGCCCAAAGCACTTGATTAAACTTTTTAATATTTTCTTTTAGTTCTTTTTTTCCCTTTTAAAGCTTTCAAGTTTTAATCACTACCTTATGGGATTTGGTAAGAAATTGTTAAAAAATAATTGCATACAATAATCACAGATGGAACTGCGCGAAAGCTGGTTCTGGGAAGCAGTCACTGCTAACTTTCTTTAAGCAAGGCTTAAGGGAGCTGCATTTTTTCCCTGACAATATCAAAATTATTATTTATTAGTTGAACTGAAAAGTAAAAATTCCTGGAGTTAGGATTTTTGCTAAAAACAGTCTGGGGAAAATTATTTGCACTTTGATGGGGTAAGGAACTTTAAAATCTCTCCTGAGATGTTCAGGTTTTTGGTCTGGTTTCTCCCTTCAGATGCTGTTCCACTCAGTAGGAAGCTCCCCATTTTGAGTAATATAAATGATCTTTCAGCCATGATCCAGAACCTTGATCTCAGGACTGGTGAGATTAAAGGATTTTGGCTTTCACATGACTTACTAGCATCTAATTCTTCACAGATTCCAAATGCATGTTAGGCTCCAAATATTTGAAGGGCTGCCTCCTCCTCCTCCCCTACAGACCAAGCAGAGGGGGCTTCCTTGGTACGTTCAGCGCTTTTTTCCTTTAAAAATGTCTAGGGGTACTCTCATTTTGACTCAAGAAAATCACAAAAATGGACAAAAGTACAAAGAACATGCATGGCCTCATATTGCACAGCTGACAGCTTGCAGTAACTTCCACATTGGCATGGGGTTGTGTGTGCTAACATCTTCCCAATTCCTTTCCGGGAAAGGAAAGGAAGCCACCATTGGAGGGGGTAACAATGAAATTGACCAATCACCATGCTAGATTCCAACTCCTACTTCACACATTAAACACTCAATTCCGTCTGAGACTCAGGAAACACTGGGACAGGAAATGAGGCTGCCATCTAAAAATGTTAATTTTTTTAGTTTCTTCTCCTGTTAGAGTCACAAAATGTTTAGGGGTATGAGACCCCTTGCGTACCCCCAGAAAAAAGCAGTGGGTACGTCCATCGCCCTCCAAAGTTCAGGGGGGTCATTCAGGGAGAGGGCACTCTATGGCGGCCTCTAAGCTATGAAATTCCCTCCCCACAGAAGAAGCACATTTGGTACTTCCATCCTAAGATATATTCGGATTGTAATTTATTTTTTTTAATAATGTAGTAACGACACGTCAGAGAATTATGATAAAAACAGAAAGGGGAGCAGCTATCGCTGAGGTTTGTTTCTTCATCCCATGACCAGAATGAAAATCAATTCAATCAATACAATCGTCATTCATGGCTTTCGTTGCTTTCAGTCTGCTGGCAATATGTACTTGATTCTGTTACCCACATTTGTGTTGTGTTTCCTTTGCATAGAAATGAATAGGGTGGACAATGAGACTTAAGCAAGCTACAAAAATTGATCATAAATATTACGTAAGTTATGTAATTTATCCACAGCAGACAACAAGATGAACAACATAGATTTTAGCAGAAGGAGAATTGCAGTGAAACAGAAACAGTCTTGCATGTGATGAATTCATTCTGGAATGGAAAAGGATGCCTTCTTCCATCCCTAGTCATAGCTCACTCTGGAACCTGATGTGGATGGTGAGTATGAATTATTATTATTATTATTATTATTATTATTATTATTATTATAGTTGCTTTTGTAAATAAAAGTTAGGTCCATCCATCCAGCAAGGTAAAGTGACCTGCTTCAAGTGGCACCATGATGGGGATAGATGAAAGAAAGAAGTGAAAGCTGAATAGTGCAATAAGATTTTTGGCCCAAACTGGGGAGGAGGGCGGATTTGGCACCACTTAATGCAGCAATATACCTTGCATTGCTCTTGTACTAATAGCAACACAGAGCTAAGTTTCCAGTTGGATGAAGTCCAGAAAACATGGCAATGTGAAACATTTCAGTTTCTTTCTTTGAAATTTCAAGAAGGTTCAGCTGTGTTATCGAGATGCAGCAAACACAAACACACACCAATCTTCTAGCACCTTAAAGATTTACAAATGTAATTATATAACATTAGGAAACATCTGAAGGCAGTTCTGTATAGATAAATTTGTTAAGGTTTAATGTTTTACTATGTTTTTATATATGCTGGACACCATCCAGAGTGGCTGGGGCAACCCAGTCAGATGGGTGGGGGAAGAAGAAGAAGAAGAAGAAGAAGAAGAAGAAGAAGATGATTTGGTATTTGTTTTTGTGGACTGGAGCCCACTTCAATAGGTGCACAGAGTAATATCCTCAGCTGGCATGAATATGTATGGCTAGTAGCCCTTCACAACAGTAGAGTAATTGATGAGAACACCTCCATCTTAGCATTGATAAGGTAATTGACACTGTAGTGAGACAGGGAACCACTCTCCTGATCCATGCCCAAACAAACTGACTCAAAACTCATTCATCTATTTCATGCTAGAGGCTTCCATTAAACTCTCTCTGTTGGAGGATGGCAGCTTTCAAGTCTGCAGTAGTATGCCCTGGGAGATTGACATCTACTCTCACTGGTTTTTGAATGTTGCCAATCCTCCTCCGCTGCCTGCAACAATCATATATATGTCGATTTATTTTGTCATTTTCTTCGCAATGGATATGACCCATGGGTTATAAATGCAAAGAAAGAAACTACTTATTTGTAATATTTTGTATTTAAAATATGCATACATTGCATTTCATCTGAAATCACAAGATGGCTTAGAGTACATAATATATTCATGTTTTAATGAAAATACTATACATTGAAGTACAATGCAAAAGGACAGCAAAATATAGAAGTTCTTAGCAAGCACCCAGTTGACATCCATATTAGGGGAGCAGTGATTCCATCAAGG